AGAGGCCGGAGGAATAAAAGGCATTTTTGCATCAACTATTCAATTAGTCAGTTGGGCGGCGCTGCTGCTTTGAAACGCTGCAATGGCGTTTCAAAGGGGCAGCACCGCATGGAGCCCAGGATCAGCTGGGGACTCGCAGCAGCGTTTCAAAGGGGGCAGCGCTGCACAGCTGATCCCGGGCTTTGGGGGTGCTGCCCCATTGAAATGCCACTGTGGCATTTCAAATCGGCAACGCTGCATGGAGCCAGGGGAAAAACGGCAGCGCTGCACAGCTGATCCCGGGCTTTGGGGTGCGGCCCTGCCCCTTCCCCCCTTGCTGCCTCTGATTAGATGCAGCAAGTGAGGGGGTGGGGTGGAAATGACTAGTTGACTATCCTGGCAACTAGTCGACTAGTCCTTAACATCCCTACCACAGTTGGCAGACAGGATGCTGGGCTGGATGGGCCTTTGGTCTGACCCAGTCTGGCCGTTCTTACGTTCATATTCTACACGTGCTTTCATTTGAGAACTGAATTAAAGATTCTGAGCCTCCTATACAAAGCCTTTAACAACCTGTGGCACAGCTACCTCAGAATCTTTTACCCTCCACGTACCTCCAGGACAGCTGTGTGTCATGGGAGCACAGTCGCTGAAGAGACTTACATTTAAACGACTTGGTCCTTGGGCCAGAGCATTCTCAGTAACGGAATTCAGTAATGTGCTTGCTTCTAAAACTGCTGTTCCTCCTTCTTCCAGGCTTGGGCATCTGTAATATTGAGCTACTAGTCCATCAATGCCATGGCACAGGGCTATACTCTACAGTTTGTTTCTAACCCTTCCCCCTCAATCCTCCTTCTCCATCAGTCTTCAGGGACCCTTCTGACGAGTCTGTTGTGACAGGAGGTGCAAACCCTACTGCAGCTGGGAGTGGTGCAAGAAGTTCCTCCAGACTTTAGAGGGAAGGGGTTCTATACCAAGTACTTCCGTATTCTGAAGGCCAAAGGGGATTACACCGTATTCTATACATTTACCTTGGTCTCTCTGGCCTCCATCATTCACATCCTGGATCTGAGTGACTAGTGTGCTGCCCTTGACTTGAAGAATGTGTACTTTCATATTGCTGTCTTTAAAGGCAACTGGTGCTTCCTCCAGATTATAGTGGGCTCCAAAGAATACGAGTTTACGGTGCTCCAATTTGGCCTGGCAACAGCATTGATGTTTACAAAATGCATGTCGGTGGTGCCAGATTAACTCAGTTATTGGGATATCCTGATCTACCCATATCTTAATGACTGGCTGATCGGGGCAATGACAGGTCTCGGGTCTAGGAAGCTGTCATGTACTCTTGGACACTTGCCGACGTCTAGGCCTGATGGTGAACATGGAAAAAATCAACATTAATCCCTGTGGGACTGTAGAGATTATCGGAGTGGTTCTCCCCTACAAAAGGTTCCAGATGATAAGAGATCTCCTCACAGGTCTCTGTTTCCCATTATGACGGCGGACACATGCCTGTGACTGCTGGGATGTTCATTTGGCTTGTCTCTCTGTGTGCAGCCTCTACAACAATGGCTAGCTATGGTGCACGCCATGGTCACTGTTTCCCCTGCAGTGCTGACCGCATTACAGTGGTGGACCGATCCCGAGCTGTCCCTGCCAGAGTCCCGTTTGACAGCTGCTGCCTTTGGTGTCACTGACAGACCTCAGTGAGTTGTGGACTCCAGGCATGTGGTCTGTGCAGGAGCTGCAGCTGTACATAAACACCAAAGAACTCAGAGCAGTCTGCCTAGCATTGGGGGTATTTCTGCAGCACCTCTTGAGCCATGTGCTTCAGATGTTGACAGACAACAGTCTCCATGTTTTATATCAACAGAACAGGGCTTCACCCTGAAATGACAGTCACTTTTCCAGTGGTGGGGAACTGACTACAAGTACAGCCGCTCCCCGAGTTGCGAACGGTCGAGTTACAACTGCGACCAAAGTTCCCATGGACTGGTCATAAAGGCGGTCCCCGAGTTACGAACGCGACCCGCGCTTACGAACAGTGCGGTTGCGTGTAACTCAATGGGGTCCGAGTTATGAACAGTTCGAGTTACAGACCAAGTGTTAGTCTGTAACTTGTTTGTAACTCGGAGAGTGGCTGTATACACTTTCGCCACCAGGCAGAACAAGAAGTGACCTTGGTTTTGCTCTGCTGCTGTTACGGTCCGGGGACCTGCTCTGTGCTTTCCCGCCATTTCCATTGATCACCAGGGTCCTGTCAAAGATCAAGAGGAACAAGGCTCGAGTCATTTTAATCACCTCAGTGTGGCCACACTGGTATTTGTTCAGTATGCTGTTGTACCTAACGTTAGTCCCCCCCCCACACACCCCGATGGCTATTGGCCAGCTGCCAGAACCTCCCGTCTCAGCACTATGGCTGCCTTCTGCAGCAGTCTTGCTTCTCTCCACCTCATGGCATGGATGCTGCATGGTTAAAGCACAAAGAGCAAGCCTGCTCAGGGGAAGTGTAAGCGGTGCTCTTGGATAATAGAAATCTGGGATGGATTCCCTGCAGAGGTGGTGGAATCTCCATTCCTAGAGGTTTTTAAGTCTTGGCTTGACAAAGCCCTGGCTGGGCTGATTGAGTTGGGATTGGTCCTGCCTTGGACAGGAGGCTGGACTTGATGACTCCTGAGGTCTCTTCCAGCCCTATTCATTCTATGAAAACCTTCCACTAGATTGACTTACTTGGCAGCGTGGACTAGGTTCTCCTAGTGCCCGTCTGAGCATAACATATCCCCAGCTGTTTCATCTGCAGCCATGGTGTCCAACCAGTTCTGAAGCAGTAGCCTCTGTAGTGGCTACTACTGTAATGAACTGGGCGCACACAACTGGCCAAATAGGCGCTAGTGGCTAGCTTGTTGGACACCACGGATCTACAGGATATCCTGAATTACCTGCTCACACTGGAGGAGCAGAGCGTGTCCGTGAAGTTCCATCTAGCCAGTGGCTCAGCTTTTCATCTCCCAGGCCAAGGTTCTTCTGTGATTTTGCACGAGATGTCTGTTCTTCTGAGGGGCCTGCACATTTTTTCACTGGCATAAAAGATCCGGTCCATCAATGGAACTTCATTCTGGTCCTGTCCAGGCTCATCAAGTCACCAGTTGAGCCTCTGGGCTCCTTCTCCCCCTCTCACCTATCTTAGTACGTTGCCTTCTTGATAGCTTCTTCAGTGGCCAGGCTAGTGTTGGAAATTAAAATGCTGACCTCAGAGCTTCCTTATACTGTCTCTTATAAGGACAAAATATAACTGTGATCTCCTGGGGTCTTTCTTCCGAAGGCGGTCTCTTCCTTCCATGTCGTCCTGCCAGTGTTGTGCCCCAAGCCACGTACCTCTAGTGAGGAGAGGTGTTTGCATGCCGTGGGTGTGCGCCAGGCATTGGCATTCTACCTGGCGCAGATCGAGCTTTTCCACAAGTTGTCACAGCTCTTCATTGCAATGGTGGATCTGATGAAAAGCCTCCTAGGCGCCTCTCCAAGCATTTCCATCTGTTACATCCTGCAGCAGGACCTGTTATGAGCTTGCACGTCCCCCCACTTAGCGAGAGCACAGGCATTTTTGGGTGGCCTTCCTGGGCCATGCGCCAGCCAGGACATGTGTAGAGCAGCAACATGGTCTTCAGTGCACACGGTCACTGCTTAATATGCCCTCACTGAACAGGCCAGAGAGCACTATGGATTCATCCGAGTGGTGCTATGAGCAGTGCGTCCATCAGCTCCTACCCCCTCCGTTGATATTGCTTGGGAGTCCCCTAACACGGGATGGATGTGAGCAAGCACTTGGAGAAAAGACAGTTACTTGTTTTGTAGCTGGTGCTCTTGGAGATGTTTCTCATGTCCCTCCCCTGATCTGTCCTCCTTCACCATTGCTGGAGTTTCCAGCAAGAAGGAACCAAGAGTGGGGGGAGCCAGAAGCACCCCTTCTACTGTGTCTTCCAGTAAGAGGAAAACTTGTGGCACCGGTGCCTGTGGCGAGCACGCACGCACGCGCGCGCACACACCTGACACAGACTGAACACGAGCAGTGTTCAGGATGTATTGCTTTCATAACCCTGTCCCTGTGGGAATGCTGCTTCCCTGAACGATGGTAGCGGGGATGAGGGAAATATTTTGCCACAAATCTAGCTGTGTATTCCTTGGGGGTTAGGGCAGCATAGTTACAGTGCTCAGTGGGGTGAACGCTTCACACCCCTGAGTGATGTAGTTACGTTGATCTACATTTTAAGTGCAGAGCAGGCCTGAGAGAGGAATGCTTCTCTCTTTGGGAAAGAAGAAAGGCAGCATCTTCTCTGGCAGCTTCTTTGCTGTCCATAGCTTGTGCTCCTTTTGTGACTGAAGTCCCTATTTCTCCCATCTCCTTTGCCTGCAAACTCTGTGACCAGCTTAGCAGCTGGTAGATTCTCTGCCTCATTAAAATTCTTAGCCATGTCTTCACCTCAGACCTGGGTTATTGCAGCTGCCTTCTGAGGGTCTCTGCAGGTCCTTACTCTCCAGAATGAGTGAAACAATGCTGTTGTCCATTTGTGTCTGGTACCAAGACCCAATTGCATCACCTTCCTCCTTAGTTTGTCTGTTGTTTGTGACTTCCTTCTGCCCCACTCCAAAGTGAATACAATCTGAATTGTAATAGATAAGCAAAATTAAGATAAACAAAAGGTGCAAGAATGAATAATTGTTGCCAGTTTGAAGATGGGGAGCTGGCGGACCGGAGAGTAACTTGTCCAAAGTAACACGGTGAAATCAGTGTGTCTGATTCTCTGTCTCTCAAAGTCCAGATGAGGGAATTAGCTTTTCTCTGTTTTGTAAACCCTCCGTGGGTCTTCATTTGAAGAAATTCTGCTCTTACTGACCTTGTGGAGTTGATGCAGGTGGAAGTAGAAAGTGGCCCCCGATCTTACCTAGTACCGTCTCACTCCATGAGTTTCAGAGAAGTTGGGTTCTTGTACAGGTGGCTGCACATCCTTTTCCTTTCCTTGCAGGGAGTGTGTGGAGCAGCCCTGTGAATTCTCCCCTACCTGTATCTACATGCGAGATGAGGTAAGTCA